TCTCTCTCTCTCTCTGTCTCTCTCTCTCTCTCTCTCTCTCTCTCTCTCTCTCTCTCTCTCTCTCTCTCTCTCTCTCTCTCTCTCTCTCTCTCTCTCTCTCTCTCTCTCTCTCTCTCTCTCTCTCTCTCTCTTCCACCTTGAGGACCCTCCCTCAACACTCTTCCAGCTGACAACCACCTTCCCTCCTCCCCCCCCTTCCCCTTCTAGTTAGTGACGGAAGAGTACAGGGTTGAGAGCTGAAATAGAAGCTGACTATAGACTAAATGGGGAAATGGAGAGGAGAAAGTGGACGAGAATACAAAAAGGTAATACAAAGAGAAACAGAAAGAGACAAACAAGAGACAGATGTCTTTCATCGCCCGTGCCCGAAGCGTCAACCACCACACACACACACACACACACACACACACACACACACACACACTTATGTGTGTGTGTGTTGTTATGTTGCTACGTGTGTGTGTAATTACCTAAGTGTAGTTACAGGATGAGATCTACGCTCGTGGTGTCCCGTCTTCCCAGCACTCTGTCATATAACGCTTTGAAACTACTGAAGGTGGTGGAGGCCAAGACCGTCAGTAGTTTCAAAGCGTTATATAACAAAGAGTGCTGGGAAGACGGGACGCCACGAGCGTAGCTCTCATCCTGTAACTACACTTAGGTAATTACACACACACACAGACCAAAGTGACGGGCAGCGGGAAATTACTTAACAGGTCCCCGGTCTGGGAAAACAGCGACGTCAGCGTCAGTACAATTTATGCACTGCCTTTGAGGACCTGAGCTCCGGTATATTCTCAGTGCTCGCCGGGTCGTCACTCCAACAGGAGATCGGAGGACAGGAAGCAGTGACCTCCGCTCAAAGACCTTCTAAACCCTTCACCTTGACCACAATAATGACACAGCTGGATAACAGAGGTTAGGTGATATTACTCGGGATATAAGTATAAAAGTATCTGCGTGCATTTGTTATATATTTGCAAATGTTAATTATTACTGCGTATGAAGTTCGGCTCACAACTTTGTACTTGTATACATGTACAAGTCTTGTACACTCCACTACGTTGTTACGGAGGAGTACGGAAGACCTTGTTACTGATTGGCCAGTGACGGTAAATAGATTATCAACTATACATTGTTGTTCTTGTTTTAAGATTCAGCTACTGGGAACAAAACGGTCCAGGTAGCACGGGCTATGGTGAGCCCGTAGTGGACTTACCTGGCACAGGAGCAGGGCTGTCAGCTATACATTGATATGTTGTTGTTTCAGATTTAGCAACTCAGAACGAAGAGTCCATGTAGCACGGGCTATGGTGAGCCCGTAACTCTCAAGGGTTAGAGATAACGTAACGTAACTATACATTGATAACTAGTCACTATATATAGATAAGTAGTCAGGTGTCGGAGGCCAGGTGCCGGGGCCAGCAGGGGGTGCCAGGAGCCGGGGCCCAGGAACCGGGCCAGCTCTCAGAATGTCTGGCACAGCTCCAGCTGAGAGTCTCCACCTGAAAGCCACAAAATACTATAGAAAGTCCAAAGGCGAGCTACCAGACTGACCACTGACCACTGAACTAAGGAATTACGAGGAAAGGCTGAGAGAACTTGACCTCACACCCAACAAAATAAAATAAAAGAGACATGACCATAACATACGAGATTCTTAGAGGCATTGTTCAAGTGAACATGATGCAGGTAGCATGAACAGTAGAGTATACGGCCGGGAGCTATTAAATCCGATGGAAATAAAAGCATTAGTGCAGGAATATTGAGCAAGAGGATCAAGCTGAAAGCATTTGAGTTTAATTCTTGGAAAGCTTAGAGGGTCGAGTCTTTGCAATAGGCGACCACCAATTGAAAGGCGGGGCCCAGGAGCTGACGGTTATCCTGCAAGCACATATGAGTACACAAACACACATTACTGTTGCCATAGTGTGGTCTTCCAGGACACTCGTGGTGCAACATTTGGTCGCTTGTACCACCATACGTCTCGTCTTATATTGTGGTTATGAGGAAAACAGTCAAGGGGTCTGGGTGACAAGCAAGGGGTCTGGGTGACAAGCAAGGGGTCTGGGTGACAAGCAAGGGGTCTGGGTGACAAGCAAGGGGTCTGGGTGACTAGCAAGGGGTCTGGGTGACTAGCAAGGGGTCTGGGTGACAAGCAAGGGGTCTGGGTGACAAGCAAGGGGTCTGGGTGACAAGCAAGGGGGCTGGGTGACAAGCAAGGGGTCTGGGTGACTAGCAAGGGGGTGCTAGGCGACAAGCAAGGGGTCTGGGTGACAAACAAGGGGGCTGGGTGACTAGCAAGGGGTCTGGGTGACAAACAAGGGGGCTGGGTGACAAGCAAGGGGGTGCTAGGCGACAAGCAAGGGATTGTTTTGTGAGAGGGAAAAGGAGAGTACATCAAAGCACTGCGAGGCCTTTCAAACTCACAGCTTGAAGGGAAAATAGAATTGTATTATATTTTCCCTTAACTCTCTCGATTTCTCCCTTCCATCTGTATTTTTATATATTTGTTAAAATTTTCTGTTTTCAGAGTTTCCAATAATTATGTATTTCTTCCTTTTGTATCTTGCATAATCTTCATTCATATGTATCTGTTTATATTACCCTCGCCTCGACTCCGCAGTGCTGTCGCCATTAGCCATCGAGAACAACTGAGCATCGGTTAACCTGATCACACACCTGTAACTCGTGACGTCACCCACTACAGCAGCCAGAAGTCTGCTGGTTTAAGCCATCGGGATACTGGAGCTTATCACCTCCTATAATCTGGAGCTTATCACCTCCTCTACCTTGGCCCGCTCTCCAAGAGCCCTTCCCAAAATGCGATATAGTGTGTCTAAAGTCACTTTAGAGACTGCCTTGGTTGTGGGAGGGGTTGGACGGCCCGCAATACTGTCACCCTGCGGCACCTGCAGTCATGGCGTCGCTTCCCCCTGACATCCCCATCACCAAGGAGGAGGCAGACTTCTGACAGGTCGGCTGGAGGACAATTTGCATGTTAATTTAACTCTGGGAACTAATCTTTTTTGACTTCCTGTACCCCACCTCCGGGCTTCCTTCTGGCTTGTCTTACGCCAGATTGTTCTCCCTCCTGTTGCTGCTTCTGTTGATTCTCTTCTACGGCTGCTTCCGTTGATTCTCTTCTACGGCTGCTTCCGTTGATTCTCTTCTACGGCTGCTTCCGTTGATTCTCTTCTACGGCTGCTTCTGTTGATTCTCTTCTACGGCTGCTTCTGTTGATTCTCTTCTACGGCTGCTTCCGTTGATTCCCTAGTTCCAAGGCTCCGTCCAGTAGTTCTTGAGCACCGCCGGGAACCTCTTCATCTGATATTAAGACGACACCGGTAATATGAACACAGTAAGTTTTCTATACAATTGTAATTTTATTTGGGAAATGACTCAATATTTTGTCTGAGTCCCTCCTCTGAAGGAAGGGGGGGGAAGGGGTGGGCCTGTTACAATGAGCTTCAAGATGATTTATCATCATTGTAGCTGAAACTGGCATCTATTTTGTTTGCAAGTAGAAGTTAGTCAACTTCAATTGGAGCATAATGCGAGTTATAAGTAATGCAACAAGTTACGTACGTCCATCCAGGGTACCAAGACTCAACCCTCAACTTTGATTACTTCACTGCCCCCCCCCCTCTCCCCCTTCTCCCCTCCCCCCCCCCCCCCTCTCCACCCCTCCTCCCTCTCCCCCCCCTCCTCCCTCTCCCCCCCCTCCTCCCCCCCCCCCCACCCCCTCCCTTTTGTGTGTCTGCTCACGGCGCGGGGATTTACATTCTCGGGAGATAGCTGGGATTGTTATATCCCTTGCCTCGGTCAGCTCCGTGTCTTGACTTGTCTAGTCCCAGTCCACCTCTTGCTTCGCCTTGTTTAAACTTGTGTTTCCGAGTGAAAGTTGTGAATGAGTAGAATGAACAAAAGAACAGAAATAGTGGAGGCAGACCCACCCACAACATCAACTGTAGATATGACAGAGCCCAAAAGGCTTGGATTCCTGTTGACCAGTTGACTGAAGGTCGAGAGGCGGGATCAAAGCGCTAAAGATCCTCCGCCGTAAGTACAACTATGTGAGAACACCGGTTTTGCCTGTCCTCAAGCCAATCTCGCGTCCGAAAGCTGCAAAAATTTGGTAACAATTTTAACTTTTTTTTTTTACTGAAAGTAGATAAGACTTTTTAACTAAGTTTGCGAGATAAGAGTTTGTAAGTAAAGTCATTTCCTTAATGATACTTACAAGTAAAAAGTCAAGACAAAATTATAACTTGTATATGAAATCTGTTGCTGGAAAAGTTGATTGGGAAAGAGAGACGATGGAAACACAGTTTTTGCGCCATCAAGAAATGTGATCAAAAGTTCCCGCTACACTTCCTCTCCCATCAGAGGTAACTCATTACCCAAAACTTTGGGTAATTAAAGCAAGTTCGGCAGGTTAGCGTACCGCGTGTTCGCCTGGCGTCACGCGCCAGTAACCACCACCACTTGCATAGTTGGCTAATTAATCCCGCCTTAAATTACGAAAATTAATGACAGCTCGAACACCTTAGCTGACTGGCACTTTCACTCGTCAGAGTGCGTTCCCCTTCACTAATGCGGACTGTGTAATGCGCACACTCGGATATGATCTGCACTCTGAATGGTTGTGATGTACTAGTTAAAAGTGGAAACTAGTTTAGGTACGGCACCGTCTCTTTCCCCCCCCCCCCTCGGTACAGGGGGCGTCACCCCCCCCAGTACGGCACCGTCACCCCCCCCCCAGTACGGCACCGTCACCCCCCCCCTCCCCTCAACGGAATGGAGGAGCCACTCCAGATGCAAACCCTAATTTTATTTTATTATAAATTGCCATAAGTCTTAACTCATCCTGGATCTAATAAAAGTAGTAAATTAGGCCTATTGTATCTTAGGCCTAGCTTAACTTATATCAACGTAGGTCGAGAATGAGTTAGATTAGGCCTAGGGAGTGTGCTAAATTATCACCAGCATAAGACGTGGACTGTTATCTAGGCTAGGGTAAGCCACGTGTTATCTAGGCTAGGCTAAGCCACGTGTTATCTAGGCTAGGCTAAGCCACGTGTTATCTAGGCTGCGTCACCGCGGTCTGTGTTGGTGGTGGAGTGCTTGATTATTCTCCAGAGAAGTGTTGATGAGTTGTACTGTTATGATGGGGAGGGGGGCGGCGTTACCTGGGGTGCGTTACCTGGGCGGCGTTACCTGGGGTGCGTTACCTGGGGTGAGTTACCTCGGCGGTGTTACCTGGGGTGCGTTACCTGGGGTGAGTTACCTGGGCGGCGTTACCTGGGGTGCGTTACCTGGGCGGCGTTACCTGGGGTGCGTTACCTGGGGTGAGTTACCTGGGCGGCGTTACCTGGGGGGGTGCGTTACCTGGGCGGCGTTACCTGGAGGGGGTGCGTTACCTGGGCGGCGTTACCTGGATGGGGTGCGTTACCTGGGCGGCGTTACCTGGATGGGGTGCGTTACCTGGGCGGCGTTACCTGGGGTGCGTTACCTGGGCGGCGTTACCTGGGGGGTGCGTTACCTGGGGGCGTTACCTGGGCGGCGTTACCTGGGGTGCGTTACCTGGGGTGCGTTACCTGGGCGGCGTTACCTGGGGGGTGCGTTACCTGGGGGCGTTACCTGGGCGGCGTTACCTGGGGTGCGTTACCTGGGGTGCGTTACCTGGGCGGCGTTACCTGGAGGGGGTGCGTTACCTGGGCGGCGTTACCTGGGGTGCGTTACCTGGGCGGCGTTACCTGGGGGGTGAGTTACCTGGGCGGCGTTACCTGGGGGGGTGCGTTACCTGGGCGGCGTTACCTGGGGGGGTGAGTTACCTGGGCGGCGTTACCTGGGGTGCGTTACCTGGGCGGCGTTACCTGGGGGGTGCGTTACCTGGGCGGCGTTACCTTGGGGGGTGCGTTACCTGGGCGGCGTTACCTGGGGGGGTGCGTTACCTGGGCGGCGTTACCTGGGGGGGTGAGTTACCTGGGCGGCGTTACCTGGGGGGTGCGTTACCTGGGCGGCGTTACCTGGGGGGGTGCGTTACCTGGGCGGCGTTACCTGGGGGGGTGCGTTACCTGGGCGGCGTTACCTGGGGGGGTGCGTTACCTGGGCGACGTTACCTGGGCGGCGTTACCTGGGCGGCGTTACCTGGGGGGGGTGCGTTACCTAGAGCGCCCATGGCTCTCTATAATTAGTACAGAAGGCGTTGGTGTTTAGAAAAGCTTCATCATCAGCGCTATTGTCCTCGTCTCCTCCTTTGTCCTGGACCGTGTCTCTCCGTCTCGTGCTCCCGTGACCCTCGCCGTGGCCCCGGAGCATGGCCGTGGCCCCGGAGCATGGCCGTGGCCCTGGAGCATGGCCGTGGCCCCGGAGCATGGCCGTGGCCCCGGAGCATGGCCGTGGCCCTGGAGCATGGTGGTGGGCCCCCGGAGCATGGCCGTGACCCTGGAGCATGGCCGTGGCCCTGGAACATGGTGGTGGCCCCGGAACATGGCGGTAGCCCCGGAGCATGGCGGTAGCCCCGGAGCATGGCGGTAGCCCCGGAGCATGGCGGTAGCCCCGGAGCATGGCGGTAGCCCCGGAGCATGGCGGTGGCCCCGGAGCATGGTGGTAGCCCCGGAACATGGCGGTAGCCCCGGAGCATGGCGGTAGCCCCGGAGCATGGCGGTAGCCCCGGAGCATGGCGGTAGCCCCGGAGCATGGCGGTGGCCCCGGAGCATGGCGGTGGCCCCGGAGCATGGCGGTGGCCCCGGAGCATGGTGGTGGCCCCGGAACATGGCAGTAGCCCCGGAGCATGGCGGTAGCCCCGGAGCATGGCGGTAGCCCCGGAGCATGGCGGTAGCCCCGGAGCATGGCGGTGGCCTCGGAGCATGGCGGTGGCCCCGGAGCATGGTGGTGGGCCCCGGAGCATGGCCGTGGCCCCCGGAGAATGGCCGTGGCCCCCGGAGCATGGCGGTGGCCCCGGAGCATGGCCGTGGCCCCCGGAGCATAGCGGTGGCCCCGGAGCATGGCCGTGGCCCCGGAGCATAGCGGTGGCCCCGGAGCATGGCGGTGGCCCGGAGCATGGCGGTGGCCCGGAGCATGGCGGTGGCCCCGGAGCATGGCGGTGGCCCCGGAGCATGGCCGTGGCCCCGGAGCATGGCCGTGGCCCTGGAGCATGGCCGTGGCCCCGGAGCATGGCCGTGGCCCCGGAGCATGGCGGTGGCCCCGGAGCATGGCGGTGGCCCCGGAGCATGGTGGTGGGCCCCCGGAGAATGGCCGTGGCCCCCGGAGCATGGCGGTGGCCCGGAGCATGGCCGTGGCCCCGGAGCATGGCGGTGGCCCCGGAGCATGGCGGTGGCCCCGGAGCATGGCGGTGGCCCCGGAGCATGGCGGTGGCCCCGGAGCATGGCCGTGGCCCCGGAGCATGGCCGTGGCCCCGGAGCATGGCCGTGGCCCCGGAGCATGGCCGTGGCCCCGGAGCATGGCCGTGACCCCGGAGCATCTCGTCACTAGCCCACGTCAAAAGCAACATGGTTCCTTAGTAGTCATGACACTAATTTACATAATTCTTCAATCCAATCATCATCGAGAGGACACGGCCTCAAGACGATAACTTTAATACAATTATCTTATCGCGAATTATCTCTCTACATATTGACAGATACCGAGACAGACAGACAGACAGACAGGCAAGGGGGAAAGGAATGTCTGCGAACAAGGAATGATATCCTCCTTGCGGGATGAAAAAGAAACCTAGTAAATGAGAGAGACAATTTTCCAGCAGTGATAGAGCCTTAGGCTGGGTCAGTCTGCAGACAAGTTCCTTCTGGCTGGTGGCATTGTTTTACTCTCTTGTCTTTCTTGTTCCTCACACAGCTCCTGCCTCTGTTGGCAGTGTTGTGTGGTGATCAGGTGTGTCAGTGTTGTGTGGTGATCAGGTGTGTCAGTGTTGTGTGGTGATCAGGTATGTCAGTGTTGTGTGGTGATCAGGTATGTCAGTGTTGTGTAGTGATCAGGTATGTCAGTGTTGTGTGGTGATCAGGTGTGTCAGTGTTGTGTGGTGATCAGGTATGTCAGTGTTGTGTAGTGATCAGGTATGTCAGTGTTGTGTAGTGATCAGGTATGTCAGTGTTGTGTGGTGATCAGGTGTGTCAGTGTTGTGTGGTGATCAGGTATGTCAGTGTTGTGTGGTGATCAGATATGTCAGTGTTGTGTGGTGATCAGACATGTCAGTGTTGTGTGGTGATCAGATATGTCAGTGTTGTGTGGTGATCAGACATGTCAGTGTTGTGTGGTGATCAGTATGTCAGTGTTGTGTGGTGATCAGATATGTCAGTGTTGAGTAGTGATCAGATATGTCAGTGTTTTGAAGCGATCAATCACATGAGTAGAAAAACAGATAAGATTTTATTGACTCTGCGATTTACAGGTAAATGTTGGCGGGAGTAATTAATCAAATTATGTATAAATATGTAATTTATCATAGTGAAATTATATATATAATATATAGTCTAAACTTGCTTATCCGGGACATCCGGTTAAGCAGTATTCTTACGGGGGGGGGAAGTCCCAAAATTACCATATTGGCTATTTTTGGTACCACAACCACATAATTCGAATTTTCACACACAATATCAATCAAAAATATAATTTTAAACAGGAACTTTCGCTTACTTTGTAGTTCGTCTTCGTGTTTGATACTGTAGAGCTTGAAGTTTGTAGTTCTTGTAAATTTGCGTAACCTAATCTCCGGTTATCCGGATTTCTTTCCGGACATGGCGAAGTTTTGCCAGTCCGGACGCGATTTTGGCCGGCTTCTCTTCCATACCAGCTTGAATATTGATACATACGTGCACTCACACTGGCTGAGGCTTCAACACACACACACACACACACACACACACACACACACACACACACACACACACACACAACTGTGGGGAGTGTGGTCATGACATGGTGCAGCCATACAGTCGAACCCTCGCTTTATTCACATAGAAACAGCACCACTCCGGTTGATGAAGCGTGCCGGGGCCTCCGGTGTAGAACTGGTAGGCGCCCTGTGGGGGTGTTGTGAAGTTGTCTCTCGGGCAAATGTTGCTCAGTTTAGATATAACCAATATTGCTGTATTTGATGCTATTTCCCGCTGGCTACACAATAACGGTTGTATCCGTGTCTCTTCCCTGTTCTCTTCTGTTCCTGTCGGACGTCTGTTTCTGTCGGACGTCTGTTCCTGTCGGACGTCTGTTCCTGCCGGACGTCTGTTCCTGTCGGACGTCTGTTCCTGTCGGACGTCTGTTCCTGTCGGACGTCTGTTCCTGTCGGACGTCTGTTCCTGTCGGACGTCTGTTCCTGTCAGCCTGATTAACTTTGTGGGGTGGGTGACGGGTCGTTGCTTACTCCCTCGGGGTCGGCGAAAGAGAGATTTTATATATTAAGTTTGAACAAATGTTTGAAAAACAACTTTATCCTTTTACAACACCGGTACTTCACGCCTAACATACTTCAGTAATGTAACAAGCTATAAGCTACAAACACACACACACATCAACCCCAAACTGTAGACAATTCCCCTCCATATTAACCCCTAACCCCCTCCCCCCCCATCCCACCACCTAAATAACTAGCGTCCATGCTCACCCGGGAGACAGAGAATACCTTAGGAGTTTGAAACAGAATGTGTGGGAAAAAAAGAAAGTCTCAAAAGACGTGTACACAAAGGAAACTGGAATCACAAGCAGAATAAACGAATACCGGGAACGGACATACTAGGAGGAACAAGATCTAATTGCACTCACAGAAATGAAACTCTTAAAGTAACAACAAATACAGCATTCACACACTGGCGTAGGAAGTAAGGAAAGTACAGGATATTCGGGAAGAGAATCAATCCTTCAAACTCTGGCATAACCATGTAACAGACACCATAACAATGGTAGGTCCCACAATAATTTCAGCAGAGATCTGTTACTCTCTACACGAGTGTTTTGCAGCTATTATAATCACACACAAAGTTGCCTCTGTTGCAAGTTGGAATCGAAGTTGAGTCTTAAGTACTCGAGACTTCCACTGTGGCAAGACAGACAGGGAAAACAGAGAGCAATACGTGCATGAAAACACAATATATGAAGAACTAGGTTTATGGAAGCAACAATGAAAACATTTAAAACCCAACATATCAATTGACCCACAAGACGGTGGAGGTAATAATGAAGCAGCCAGATGTTTGATGTTCACTATGAATCGGCCATTAGGGAAATAAAACTTGTAAACCACCCTAGGAATGAGCGATTGCTATAAGCAGACTTTTGAGTATCTGCTGAAGGTAGGAATGGCAACTTCAGGGAAAAGATCAGAAGGTCGACGGCTGATATTTCGATGAACAATGATCAGTAAATTTAAAAAATGTTATCAGAAATACCGCGGGACACATAACTCGGAAGAAAGACTCCACAACGACTTATGAACGTCGTCACCCAGAAATGCTTGAAAGTAGTGTACAAATGTGCCCACGTCCAGAAAGAGAAAGATTACTATAAAAAGCAAAAAAATTACCCATGGTGTATCTTTGAACATAAGGAAGCAAAGCGCATAAGCACAAGAGCATCGAGTAAAGATATTTTCCAAATTTCTGATGATGGTTTCCAGTGAATACAAACAGGTGCAGCACAGGGTTTCAGGCCCCTCTCTTAATACACACGGTGATATCTTTTTTCGTATCTGGGCTCTAGCAGGTTTCCCCCCCCCCCCGTACCTTGCACAGCTTTAATTAAGAGATGATTGTATAGACCAATTATAGACCAGACCACACACTATAAGGTGAAGGGACGACGACGTTTCGGTCCGTCCTGGACCATTCTCAAGTCGATTGTCGTCGTCCCTTCACCTTCTAGTGTGTATGGTCTGGTCAACATACTTCAGCCACGTTACTGTGACTCATCGTCTGTATACCAATCGTACGTCGAGAGGAATAAAATGCACTAGGAACCCAGTAACTATCGGGGCCCTTAAAGCTAGATAACGAGCCTGTGGACACGGGTAGGTCAGCACACTCAGGCAGTCTGACACACAGATGATGCCCCCTGAAGTAATCTGCTCCATCAGTCTTGGCTCCAGCCTCCACCAGACTCCCACACCACCAATTCCACTCTCGGTCTCATTTTGTATTCATGTCTCCGCCGATGATGCTCGGCCTTTTTTTTTACATTTATTGCTGCTGTTAATTTAAGGAAAAAAATATTCATATTCGTCTATGTTATTCAGTTATAATTGTGTCGGGGGATGCATATTTATAGCATCTAATCTGACTTTAAACTCACGTTATGAGTTATATTTGAATGCTTCGTCATTCACACTTTACACGGAGATTGTTGCTCAAATGGCGAGCTCTGTGTAGTACAGTTTGTCTAAAAATATATTTTTTTTAACAGCTGTGCACCTGTTTCAGTCCAGCCAGAGTTGTAATTACTTGTATAAACTGTTATGAATAGTCTCTGAACTTGCTTCCTACGTATATTCTGTTCCCCTGTCAGGCTGGCATCCTACACACACACACACACATCCATCATCCATTTTCACACACATACCACATCTCTTAGGCAGTGATGTGGTGGAGGCTGACTCCATACACAGTTTTAAATGTAGATATGATAGAGCCCAGTAGGCTCAGGAATCTGTACACCAGTTGATTGACAGTTGAGAGGCGGGACCAAAGAGCCAAAGCTCAACCCCCGCAAGCACAAATAGGTGAGTACACACACACACACACACACACACACACACACACACACACACACACACACACACACACACACACACACACACACGGGGCCTCGCGGCTGAGTGGACAGCGCTCTGGGGTCGTAATCATAAGGGCTCGGGTTCGATCCCCGGCAGAGGCAGAAACATTTGGGCAGAGTTTCTTTCACCTTTGTGGCCCTGTTCACCTGGCAGTAAATAAGTACCTAGGAATTAGACGGCTGCTTCCTGGGGATGAGTGTGTGTGTGTGTGTGTGTGTGGGTGTGTAAGAGAAATATATGAAGTAAACATAATAGAGAGAAAAATAAATTGGTTAGAAAGGCGGAGTCTAAGAGCTAATAGCTCGATTCTGCAGATACAAATAGTGAACACACACACACACACACACCGTCAGGTACACCTATACATCAGAGTTGGTGGACAGTAGTGTGCTGGCCTAGGTGTTTACACTGTACCTGTCATAAAGTACTGTCCACACTCTGTGGTCAGTACTTTATGACAGGTGAAGTGTCCACTCTTGATACTCCTTTGGCTGCCTTTCTTTTGCCTTGGTAAATGGGGGAGACTTTTGGTTAAGTCGCGGTATCTTTGCTACACCCAGCTACTGGAGCATTTGACGAGGTCGTCGTCCGTGCTTGAGATATGCTGGAGGCAGTAGCAGGTGTATTACTATTGCTGCCCTGATCTGTGTGGTTGTTGTTGTTCCCTTGTGGAGTAGTGCTC